GCATTGTATGCTGTAAGAACATTGGCAAAACGCTCTTAGAACAGCTATAGAAGCGAAATGGGCACACCTAATATTACACTTCAGTCATTTAAGAGGTTGTATGAGGGCTGCAGGTAACAGTTATACAACAAAAGTGTAAACCTCTTGCAGCCGCTATTGAACATTTGTGTCGGTGCAAGAGTTTTTGTCAACTATACAACTATTCTGTTACATGATTCTACTTTATTGCAACCAAAATATTTCTTATGTATTGTATAGGCGATAACTAACACATTACAGTCATCTTGTTTACTTGCATATCGGCCATTGTGAATTTCATACACAGAGGTATATGATAAACTTCTACACGGTGATATAGGGCTATTGAATTAATTGCGCAGCAAATTTTATTGAGATTATCGTGCAAAGTAGTTACGCAAGTTGTACGGGCTTTGTATTTGATTCATATTTTAATTAGGCAGCAGCGGTCGCCGCAGTAGTAGACTCTTCGGTCTCCTGATCAGTCGCCGTGCGCTGTGCGGGTTCGAGTCCCGTCCCAGGAGAAATTTTTCTCTTGGCTATGGATGTTGTGATTGTCCGTAGGTGGTAGATGATCTCTGACTGTCGAACGCCGCGGTACCACCCGGCGGTTCTCGTAGGCGGAGCCAGAATGTGTGCATGTTGCATGCACACGTGTTCCCTCGCCAGAGTCCGTGTAGCGTCCCCCCCCTTTCCCATGTATCCCCCTATAGCCCCACGGTACCCAATGGGTGCTTAGGCCTTCGGCCTTCGTGGTAGTTGGAGTATAAAAAAAATAATAATGATCAAAAATATGTTAGATAGATTTTTAAGATGAAAAACTGAACTTATCTGCGTTAAATCTTCCACAAATTCTATAACACAATTACACTAATGTTTATCACTTTATATTTGTAATGTCGAACTGAAACATTATTAATTAATTCTCAATAGAGGAATATATTTTTGATCAATATGGCGGGCATGTATGTATAATCATGGCATCGTCCATGTTGTTTTTGGTTTATTAGAATATTTTGGTGTTGTCTGCAAGTGTTATACAACAATTTGATAAATCTCTAAAATGGAATACGGACAGAATCGAATGATTTACCCAGAATTTCTACCAGATCTATATATATCTCCTGTTTGAACAGCTGATAAAACCGTTTAAACCAATATGCATGTCTTAAAATATTGGTTATGGCATTTCAACTAAAAAGATGACAGCAAAAAGTTAGGTTAGGTTAGCACAGCAATTTTGTACTATAAAACTTGTAATATTGTTGCAGATGTACTGCCTTTAACAGTTACTAAACGACAGTTGTATAAGTGCTTCCGTTGGGAGAAATTTGTTGGCAAAAGTAGTAAATACAACAAGGCTCGGGTTTGTTGTATAAACGATACCATGGATGCCATAACGCAACTATTTTCACTACCGCGCAAATATGTCGTATAAAATAGTTGTATAAACGTTTATGCAAAAAATTGTCCTATAAGGTGTTGTATAACTATGCTATAAGAATATTTTAAACACCTCATTTTAGAGCAAATATGCTGCAGAAAGTAAATTTGCATTCCACACAACATTAAGCCAGCATCTTGGTGTTCAGGCAACAACAATAGAGAGCTTTTACGGCTGAACAGTTCCTTTACCAAAAGCTTATAGTACTACTTTGCTAGTTGGGTACCTAGTCTGCAAGATGACATTTTATAGTTTTTTTTTGACGTTTTATAGATTTTTTACATAACACCCGTGCCTTAGCGTACAAAGGGACACAAGCAAATACGATTCTGTCTACATATGTACATATATGGGGTATTTTGAAATCTTCTAGCTAATCAGCTGTTATTTGCTACCACGTTTATATAATAACGTGCAACCGACACAGCTTTTAAAGAGCAGCTAATCTCATTTGGTTATGGCGGGGCGTTCTATTGACTACTAAGATTAAATGAGCGTAATAACACTGATTAACGTATTCTGCCTGAAGATAGCCAACCGTATGTTCTATTCCGGCGCCCAACAATGGATCTCTAAGGTACTAACGCCATCTGTAAGACAGTAGCAGAACACAAAAATGAATCTAAGAATCCACTTTGAAACTACTACTGCATTAGAGAGGTACAGAAAAGTATTGAAGATCATATCGCCATCTATGGAACAATTGGAGAACCGCCACATGTGGCTCTCGCACTCGTGTTCTTCCTCGGAGTTTTATAGCTTCCCGCAAGATATTGGGCATTGTGACTACGAATTCATTACGCTTGTTATCTTCAACCTGGCGATATTTCTTGACTTTCTGCGGGTAATGCGGGTGATTATTTAGCTATCCAGAAGAAGTGGTTAAGAAGTCCTAGAGAGGCATCTGCACTGATTTGGGAATGGCAACAAGAACTGCCGGAACACATAAATGTAACTTTGATGTGGGTGCCAGGACATTCAAGTGATACAGACGATGAAAGTGCGGTTGAGCTCGAAAGGAACGGCACATCTACTTCTTTTGTAGTCCCAGAACCTGCCTTGAGCGTCTCAAAAAAACAATAAGGAAAACCATATCAAAAAATGTGTAAGAAACCAGCAAAATAAGCCCAAGAGGTGGCAGAGCCATCGGAGACATAGCTCGGACGGCTCCCTGAAAAGAGAAAAAAATACCATGGTTCTCAAGAACCTCCTCAACAGTGCCATTGTCTGCTGCTCTATTTCTCGATGCTCAGGTGCCTGCTGTAGTTTCATCTCGTTTTACCCGTTGCATTGATTAGGATAGTTTATCCAAAGTTATTATAAAAAAATATTGCAGCATCACTTTGATTTTTGGCGCCAGAAGTGGAAATTGGGTATTTTTGTAAGCTTAGTCTTTTGTTGTCAAAAGTGCGGAACAAAAAGACTATTTTCGGCAATGAGTGTCCCAAGCTTTAAATTGAAGCAGTGCAGCGCTTAATCAAGTTCCCCAAGCATCCTCTACTAAATCATAAACATATTTATACGTGAGTTTTAAAAAACGAATGTATTATAAATAATTCAAACAATAACGTTTATCTTGAGCCACCCTATGCGTGTTTCTCTATACCCCATTCGTAGTCCGTTTACGCCCAGACAAAACACAACATGCTCAAAAGCGAGATTGTACAGGTCCGAATTTTCCTCAGTGGTCTTGGAATAATCTAACAAAATAAATTATTTATTTTTTTATAGAATGAAGTACACATACTATTCCAAATTCTTTATTTGCTGGAAGTTCCTGAATTATCGTTCGAATGGTTAATATTAATTATTACAGGTTCAATTTGAATATCGATCATATTGTCCAGATCCCATATCTTTGTCTCCATCGTCTCTTGAACGTGACGGATGCAATCTTTCCAGTGGTTTGACGTCACTCTGTTGAGAGCTTCATAAAACAAATTTTTCACTAAAGAAAATTTGAATGTTCTATTGTTTGAAGCCACATAGCTTTTTATATTTGCCCAAATCATTTCAATGGGATTTGATTTGCAGTAATAAGCCTTAAAACTGTCTTATTTTGGTTTTTCGCCATTTCGTCAATAGCATTAAGATTATATTTATATTTTTGCTGTCTGACTAGATGGATAAGTTCTGCTTTGACCTTATTTTCATCGAGATTTATGTCTTTTGAGGTGCCATTGCTGAATTTCTGCCTTTCTTGTGCACAATTTTTTTGTAGTTTTCTAGCGTGGTATGCAGCATTATCAAATACAATGACGGCACTGTCGTCAAGCTTTAGGAGCGTTTCTTCAAACCATCGTTCAAATGAACTCCCGTCCATTTCTTCATGGTAGTCGGTCGTTTTATTTGACTCAAATACCCATAGGGTAGTGGGCACAAAGTCATCTTCACTGCCAGTGTGACAGATAAAAAATCGCTTTCCTTTTCCTGAAAATAATTATGTCATATAGTGTTCAAGAAAACTAATAATAATACAAGCAGACTATCTAACAGAGGTTGGTTCCAAATCTACCATATAGCTAAGTTTACTGTAGCTAAGTTTTCAGCGCGGGCTTATAGATTCAGTCTACTTGACACCATTTTTACAACACAAATGTTGAATTGGTTAGATACACGTATCTGACGGATTCTTTAGGCCAGTGGTTAGTCCATCTAAGAAGGCTTGTCTTGCTCATTTAATTGTAGTGTCAGCCCATACTTCAACCTTCGTATATCCTGCATTCATCCAGGTTCCATTCAAATAATAAATCTTCCTGCCCTCTTCGCGGTATTTCTTTATTGGTTTTAAATAATTTCTTCTCCATAAAATAATCTCTTGGCTGTCCATCGAAATATTACTTCCGCCCCGTTTTCTATTCTCAAAATGAAGATCTTTGAGTAAACTATAGAATGTGGTCCTTTTAAAAGTAGATAAGTCTTCATCACTATTAACCTCCTACAATACTTTATGTGGTTTAGACGTTTTTTTGTTTTTTTATATTCTTTAACAATGTTGAAAATTGTCTTAGGACATAAGACTGTTTTGTTCGCCACTTGTCTGTCAATATCATGGATTATCATTTCAGAATGCTCTAAAATGTCGCTCTTATCGTATAAACGTTAAGGATAATTTATTTTTCCTGAAAATTCAAATGTACCTTCTTATCAGGTTTTCGGGGAGGGGATATCACTGAAGAGGAAGAATGGCTGAAGGAAGCATTGGGAGAAATATTCTCAGTTGTTTCATCTGCTGTATCCGTAGACGACATGCTAACGTATGCACCGAATATGAACAACAACTGCCGTCGTCGGCGTGCCGGCGATACCTACTCCGAGTTCTATCATGTAGAATCCTGCACTTGTTCGTAGTTTTACGGCCGCATGAGCAATAACTATTGCAACCCGGCTGCCGCTTTGCCGCGCTGCATCTTTGTTGTGCCGGGGCGTAAATGAACTACGAATAGGGTATAAGTCCCCCCTTACTGAAAATAGTCGATAATACCCTAGCTTAAAATCGTCTAAAATTTATTCGTTTTGACTATTTTTAATTTTTCAGACATACGCAGCAGATATATTTTTTGCTCAGACGTGGAAAGACCATAGACTGAGACTACCAGAAAATATGACATCCGAATACAGACTATTAGAGGTAGAATGGTTGAAAAATATGTGGAGACCAGATTCTTTCTTCAAAAATGCAAAGTCGGTTACGTTCCAGACTATGACTATACCCAACCATTACATGTGGCTGTATAAGGATAAAACTATTCTATATATGGTTAAGTAAGCTCTACAATAATTGTTTTTGGTTGTCCATAAGGTCAAATAGCAATAGTGCTTTTTTTAATGATTAATTTTAATGGTATACCTCTTTTAGGCTAACTTTAAGATTATCATGTGCTATGAATTTTATGATTTATCCACATGACACACAGGAATGTAAACTACAAATGGAAAGTTGTAAGTACGTGCCTTTCGATAGAAAGAATTCTTATTAAACCATGACATAAATTTTATTAGATAACCTTTCAAGCCATACGTTCTATAAATATGTATATAAGCTTTTGGAAACATATTATTGTCAAAGTCCGCATTTTTCTATCTTTCCTTTTCTACGATTCGCATTGTTATTTTTGGTCTACGTGTGATGTCACAATTATGGTTTTTGTTTTTCCGAAAAAACCTGCTGCAGATCGTAAAGTGAGCTGCATTATTTCATTACAAGAATTTTTGTAAATATGTTGTAGTATCCCATACAACGGATGACATGATTTTCCAATGGGATCCTGACGTTCCATTGGTTGTTGATGAGAACATTCAATTACCTCAGCTGGCTTTAGTGAAAAATTACACTGCTGACTGCACGCAAGTGTATTCTACAGGTAAGCGAGTTAAAAAAGTATGTGCATTTTATTCAAGAGATAGTGGACAGTTTATTTTTGCCTCTTGGACTTTGAAATTGAGTCATTAATTTTCAGATAATGATTGTAGAAGGAAGATAAACCAAAATATGTGTGTAAAAATAAAATAAAAAATAAAAAAAATGTTACCTTGTTTTATAAAGTATCCTCCCGACAAGTATTTCAGTGCGGACTTGTATTTAATTATGCGGTCTTGGAGCACCGGCATGCCCTCCCCTGTGAGGTCTTAAGTCACCTGATTCACGAGCCCTTTGTACTACGTTAACAAAGGCACGAGGGGTTGGTTGCACTCGATTGGTAAACCGATCCGCATAAATCCGTGATGCCGTGGCAGCATTTTGTAAAGACTCCCCCCCCCGTAAATAAGAATCATGTCCACAAGTTCAGCCTTTTCGTAAACATGTGCCATTTTTTATTTCGTTTGAGCCACGCAACAAACACCAGTATTCACTCACGCGTTACCGACTGACACATTGACTGAATACAACTGAATAAAATTGTAGTAAAAACATCGTGATAAGCGTTTCAAATTCTTTCGCTTTTTTGTTTCCGATGCGATGAACTGATAAGGCGGATTATATCCGTTGTTGCCAAACACGAGCACATAATATTATTATTGAGACAGGGCGGTACTCAAACTTCTAAAGGGCTATAACTTTGTTACTTTAATTTTACCAGAAAAATGTTAAAGGAAAAAACATTTCTTTTGATCAGATCTACTCACTGTTAAAATAAATGACTCAACTTCGAAGTATATACCCCATAAAAAAGTATAATTTACCATTACCATTGCATTTATTTATGTTTTTCACATTTGATTGCCTTTATTTTAATAACTATTTTTCATCAGGTAACTTCACGTGTTTAGAGGTGGTTTTTGTCTTAAAGCGACGGTTGGGCTACTATTTGTTCCACACCTACATCCCAACATGTCTTATTGTCATAATGTCGGTAAGTTAAAATGGACCTTGATTGATTTGGTTGTACGAACATTCATTTTTATGAAATCACTACTGCCCTCTGGATTTTGGATTAAAACAAATTGAATGTTTCTGATATTTCTTCAGTGGGTGTCTTTTTGGATAAAACCTGAAGCAGCTCCAGCACGGGTTACCTTAGGTGTGACGTCACTACTAACATTGTCTACCCAACATGCAAAAAGTCAAGCTGCTTTGCCTCCCGTATCGTATTTGAAAGCCGTAGATGGTTTTATGTCCGTCTGTACTATGTGAGTATTGTTATTAGTAAAATACCTTGAATACATTATACAGAGTATAACAAAAGTTTGGAGCGCATCGAATATCTGAAAACTGGTAGGTTTAGATCCGTTCATGATATCCACGATGTTGCTAAGTCTATCAATTTCTGAAAAAAATGTATATTTGGCAACATCGCGGATATCATCAACGGATCCGCCGTGATTTCGAACCTAAACTGTATCCATCGAAGAAACAAAGTAAAATCAAACATATACACCCATATTGCACGTGATCAAGAACTTAACCGTAGGAGACGCTACAGGGCCGTATCAAGCTATTGTGACTGATCTATCAAAAAATGTCGTACAGGATATGTGTTGCTGTAAATTCTATCAAAAGCATAGTAAATTATCAGGAATATACCACGCCTTTCTAATCATATTTCGACATTAGGAATCAGTGCAAAAAATTCTGTATTCACCATTTCAGCAAAATGTTACTAAAACGCACACGAAAAAAACTTGTGGACCATCTCAATTGAAATTGTTCATATTTTATTATTAACTTCACCTTCTATTCACAATGCAGAGCAAATTTTTTTGAGCAAATAGAAACTACAGATGTAGTAGTAGTAGTACAAAAGTTTATTACAGACTCCATAAAGTTTGTTAGTTTGATTGCTATTAAAATTTACATGAGAAATAGGAAAAAGGTCAAAATGGCACTATTATGCTTTGGAACTCCTAAATTAACCCTAATTTTGTGTAATTATAAATTTGGAATTTCCACATTAATAACTAGAAACTTACACTTTGATTGCAGTCTATAATGAACTTACCTGTCTTGCCAAAAAGCCCGTTAAACTGCCAGTCTTAATGGTATCAATCGATTTATATGCTGTATTCCGAGGAGCTTGAATCATCAGAATTGTTGATGTCAATTATAAGGGGTTCAACTTGGGTGTCAATGATATTGTCCATATCCCACATTTTGGTTTCAACCTTCTCTTGGACATGGTCAATACATGTTCTCCATTTTGCTGGCGTAATTCTATCGACAGCAACATCAAACAGTGTTTTAAGGTCAGAAAACTTAAAAGTGCTGTTGTCGGCCCAAATCAACTCGATAGGATTCAGTTCGCAGTGATAGGGAGGCAGCCTGAGAATCGTTTTATTTTGGTTTTTGGCCATTTCGTCAACAATTTTTAAATCATATTTATACTTATGTCGCTTGACTATATTTATCAGCTCAGCTTTGACCATTGTTTGGTCGAAGTCGATCTTCTTTGAGACAAGCCACTGTTGAATGTCTGCCTTTTTGGTGGCCATTGTTGGAATTTTTTCCAATTTTCTGGAGTGGTACGGGGCATTATCCATCACAATAATTGCGTTATCATCAAGTGTCGGCAAAATTTTTTTGAACCAATTTTCAAATGAGTTACCATCCATTTCTTCGTGATAGTCTCCAGTTTTTTTGGATTCAAATGCCCACAATGCTTCAGGAACAAATCCATCTACGTTACCTATGTGGCAAATGATCAGGCGTTTTCCCTTGCCTGAAAGTAATTAGTTATTTTACTTCTCAGCGAGCGCACTAAATGACGAAATTAAGCAACTTACTCTTTTTAGGTTAGTGTAGGATAGGGTCTTAGATTAGTTTTTGGGTGAAGGAAATACTCAGAAACTTGGATGAGATAGCAAAACTGAGTTCGGAGCTTCCAAATCATTGATTCGATCAAAAAATGAATTATCTGCATCCAAAAAAGTTCATATACTTCGAAACTTACCTGCAGGATTTTTCAATCCCGTCGAAAGGCCATCTAAAAAAGCCTGCCTTGAGGACCTCACAGATCTGTCTACCCAAACCTTTCCCTGCGTATGCCCCGCGTTCACCCATGTTTCGTCTAAATAATAAATTTTTCTTCCTTCAGCGCGGAATTGCCTAATTTTTCTAAGGTATTCTCTCCTCCAGATAACAATTTCCTCCTTTTCTATCAATAAACTATTCATTCCTCTTTTCAAAAATCGAAAGTCTAGTTCTTTCAACAGCTTATGGAACGTAGATCTTTTAAAATTTGGCAGGTCCTCATCATCATTCACTTGCTTCAATATTTTATCTATTGTAGGTATTTCATTCCTGAAGAAAAAGTGATGTACTTTTCTTCTAATGGCACTTTTGTCAAAGTCATCTATTTTTTCGATGATTTTTTTTCTCGCTGGATATGTTTTTGGCTCAGATAGTGAGTGATTTTGTCTATATTCCTTCAAGATTTTGTAAACACTTGATCGACCTACTCCAGAAATTTCAGCAACCTTACATACGATATTTTCTATAGCCAATCCACTATTCTCTTGCATCTGGTTCTTGTAGATATTTAGAATAATTTGTTTTTCACCTGCGCTAAGATGAAGTTTTTTAGCCCTTTTGCTGGGTGGCGTTAAGCTGATTTCAACCACTTCATCAGCTGTATCTGTGTCAGACATTTTAGGCTAATATTAAATTTCCGCAAGAAAAATCAAGTCAAGACGTGCATAAAACGTTCGCGCTCATAAACGGGTATCCGTAACTGATTACAATCCTGTGCGTGGTGACGAACCATCAACGTGACGCTGAGAGTTCCCTCTACTATGCAGCGTTGCCAGGCTTAATGTCACAATGATCATGTTTTATTGGGAAAATTGTCAGAAATCGCCGAATGTTGAACAGAAACATTACAAGAAGTCTAACCTTGAAATGTGAGGCTACAAATCGATATTCTTATAGGGGGGAAGGGTAGGGAGCTGTTATGGTTCCTATTAACCTTGGTGAAAGTTGGAAACGGTAAAATCATATATGGCATACATTCGGTTGAAGGTGTGTGCACGGAAAATAGATTGCGGATAGGATTTTAATAGATAAATCTGCACAAAAAAACACAAAAGGAGATTTTTGTATTTCCCTGAAGAATATCTCAAGGTTATTTCAGATGTACTCATCGAAACTTTATGGAAGGATTATCGAAACCTTATTTTCAATTGCGATAGGGCCACATACCTCGACATCGCATTAATGTGAAAAATAAGACAATAGAAAAAAATTCCCTCACTGATGCTATCTCTTAGGAAAAATTTAACTATAAAGATTGCACAAAAATTTTCTTCACCTTTTTGAGCTTGTTTTCGCATCTCCGTATATGCCGTTCATAATTTGCTGCAGATCAAATTGGAATATACCTTTGTGATGCCATTTATTGTTATATAATGTCCTTTACAACAGTTATTGCACGTATTGCACCAACAGATTGATTTGTGATCCATGCGAATGTGATCAACCACTCTGGCGAAAACTCGCCGAGCGTGGCAACCGTGCGACTTTGTCTGGAGGCTCGTCGCTACAAGCCAATCAGGAAGAGGCCGACAGAGCGCCATGGCTACCGATCACGCGTTGATCACGAATCAACCACTGTTTACGATTACTTTGTAGCTTCGTTAGATACACTTTTAAGCCTACCAATTTTTAAAAAAGTAGATGAGTCATTCGCAGATATTTGATGCGTTCCAAACTTAAGTTACAATCTGCATACATTAATAAATATACAGGGTGTTACATAAAAAGTGGAAAACCAATATGATAATATGGAAAAAGTTCATATAAAAATAGGTGTGGAAAACAAGATTTCTCAAAAATAGGTGATTTCTCCAAGTCATAATGATTAAAAGGTCATTAGTATTGACTCGGTAAACAGATTGATGTGCTGGTTCAAAAAATGAACAACAAATTCCAGTTTTTGAGTAGGATCAGTCTAGAATTAAGGTAAGCCCTATTTCACGAGTATCCATCACGTTTTGACATTTACTGAGTTGAACAGCTGATCAGCAAGTGACATCTTTGTATATTAGTCTGTAACGTTGGCAACAACGAATCGGGTATAAATCTAGTTAAACTTGCTTGTAGCGTTTTTTATATGCAAATGAACTTTTATATTTAAAAGAGTTGTTAGCAAGTACAAAATGGATCGGTAGCGTACAAAAAAAACAAAACAACGTTCGGCTCTGGCTAGCTGACATTGACGGATCCGTCTGAATGAGGTGTCTAGAATCAGCCGTTATTCTATGGTAATGGAAAAAGACAATATTGGTGCTATTTTTTTCAAAAAGCGATGGCGTACACTCTTGTTTTAACATAGAGACTTTGTAGATACGAGAGAGCCACTTGGTTTGAAAAACAATTTTTTAAATTATGATGTGAGCTTTGATAATACATTTGTGTGTACAAATGTCATCTTAATGTAATGAAGGTAATGAAAAATGTATAGAGAACTATCAAAAACGTTCAGGGAAATTAGAAGCATTTCCAGACCTATACTTATATGAACCATTTTCATATGAATCTGCCCTTAAATTTTCTAGACAAAATTCTGTAACACCTTATAATAAAGAGATACATACAACAAACTTAAAACATTAAATTGTTGAGACTTTACGATGACTACGTATTGATAACTTCATCTTACAACGAAGCATTTGACGGTGAAAATAATACCACTGCCACTATACCACACGGTGTGTGGTTACTTATTCCAATATTGCAAGGGAAGCACGTTGTGCAATTCTTTTCCCTACTATACAAAACTATAGTTAAGAACCAAAATGGAAGAGTTTAGCGTTACGCACCGCACGCCACTGTTAGGGAGATGTGTCTTAGAGTGCCGTAGAAGCCGCCCTTATCAGTGATGGACGCATCGTATAATATGTCGTGGTCATATCGTAAAATTGACCATTTCGTGAAATGATCGATGATGAAATGTATGATTATTTATTTGCCAGATCATCATGTGCGTTGACCAGATCAATGATAACAAATCGTTTAACGATATGATCAACTAAACGCGCAACTCCATCATGAAATGGTCAAGCATATATGTGACCAAATCGCGAAATAATTACATTAATTATACCGGTAGAGATGCTGGAAGCGATGTGTCTACATTTCAAGACGGCGTTCGTTAATAGCAAAGTTGTTTTTCGAAGTACACATCCTGGTAATCCGTTAACATAATAATGAAGAAGGAAGTGAGATTAGAGGTCTTAGGACTCGTGTACCTACTATGCGGGTCACGCAAATACCGAACGAAACGTCAAAGAGCTGCTGAATTTGGGACGTTTCACATGTTAGTTCTTCACTCTTGAATTACATTATTATATTTGAATTAAAAATCGTATGCTAACTAAAATATTTTGTTTGTTTATTAAACTACTATATTATTCTACGTACGGTATTTTTCACGGGATATCCATTATGTTTTGACGTCTACTGAGGTGAACAGCTGATCACAAAAGCGACATGCTTTTATTAGTCTGTAACGTTGGCTATAATGAATTTCATGACCGTACTCAGAGCTGTTATTCACAAATCTCGATATCTCGATTATACTTTTGAGTCACTGGGAAATATGACAACAAAATGTACGAAGTGCAGATGTAAAAATGTGTATTAGTTAGAAAATTATTGTAGTACATCTGGGATTTATTGAATACGAGGTAAATCAATAGAACAGGCTGCGTTGTCCTTTCCAGAAGCTGTAATTTTACTTGTAAAAATAATATAGACACTTTTTTCTGATTTATTGTCCGTTATCAGTGTAAAGTAATTCAAATTTTAGAAGAGATATCTCAGCACATACGTGCAGAATCTATCATAAAAATTTAGTAATGGATACAGCTCATTCAAGCAGTAAAATAAAAAATAATAAAAATAAAATGTACTTCCTGGAATTTCTCATTCCCTTGATATGTAATGATGGCATAGCATCAATTTGCTGACATGGTATATAATGTAATATTTTACTCTTTTTATAAAAACCACAAACTACATTAATTTCTTATTTCTCTCCTACAAGCTCTATCAGCTTCCATACGACGGACATTTCCGTTTTCTTTGATTTTTTGCATTATTCTCAAACGTTGGCTTATGCTTGTATTCACGAACACTGCATTGCCCTAGTTGAGAGACTTACAACAGTAGTTGTACATTTTATCTATTATATATTATACATTTTTCTAATTTCTGACTTGTTAGAATTACCTAAGTAATGTTCAGACCTAATTCAGGGAATCGAACCTCTATCAATTCGTTTATGTATATATAATATACATATAAGATATAAAGATCCGTCAATGCCAGGTAAGCAGATCCATATTCTGTTGTTGTTTTTTATTTTGTAATTGCTAACAACTCTTTTATTTAGAAAGGTTCCTTTGCATATAACAAAAACGATACAAGCAAAATGGGTACCAATGATCATGACTACATTTCACGTCAGGTAAGAATAAAATAAGATAAACTGTTTTTGAGTCTCTACTTTTTAGAACATGAAACACCATATGGTTTTAAAGGGCAATGAAACAGCCATACAGTCATGATAATTAGTAGCCATTTTGCTTTGCGTTTTGTTATATGCAATGGGACTTTTCTAAGTAAAGGAGTTGTTAGCAAGTACAAAATGAATTTGTAGCTTACAAGAAACCACAACAAAATATGGATCTGTCTACCTGGCGTTGACGGATCTCTCAGCATTAATTATTTGTCGCTTGTCAATATGGGGAGTTTTGAAAAATATCGAATCTAAAACACATCTTAATTTTTATCTAATTTCTAGTAGTTTATACGTCAAATAAAGGAGAGTAGGGTGACCAGGCGAGGCAATAATTTAATGTGTGATATTTGATATATTCAACAGTTTTATTTGTAACGTTGTGTAATTTTAAATTGTTTTAATATAATTATTATATTTTAATTTCCTGAGTTACTAGTTTTAATAAAAATGTTTGTCATACTTAAAGAACAATAAACGAGTTCGTAACATATTCTGATTTTTTATTAAATATTCTATGGACCCCTATTTGACGATAAGATCAATCGTGGATGATCCACGGTACCCAATGGGTGGTAGTTGAAGTATAAATAAAAAGAAAACAAAATCGTTGAACGTTGGCGATTTAACGATATGGCCAAATGTGATATTTCATGAAATGGTCAATTCTACGATATGGCCAAGACATTGTATACGTATTTTTTACGTTGAATACACATTATACAGGGTGTTTCAGAAAGACGTGTCAATGCTTCTGGGGTAGAAAGCAAAAAGATAACAAGAAATAAGGTGCATTATATAAAATATGATTCAATTTTCTACAAATATTGCCTCTTGAGGAATTTTTGTCAGATCACTCATTTTGGAGATATTTGGGTTTGAATATTTGAGATGAAATCCTAAAATATTCTTATGAAAAGGTTTATCCTCCCCTGCCCTGAAAACTAAAAAATTGAATGGTATTTTATAAAATTCACTTATTTTCTCCGAAAAGACCAGTGGCGTAGAAAATATTTCCTGCTAAGGGTCCAGGTACCCCAGTTTCTACTTCTCCCGCTCAGTTTGAGTCAGGAAACTCTGTGTGCTTATTTCTGATGATTTGCTCACTGAATGTCCTAACTGTTTACCCTTTCCATAGACATACTTTTTTAAATTTCGTAAATAAAACTTCATCGACCTGTTCTCGGTAGGGGAGCACGGTTGGACCTATATTTATAGGAACGTTTATTGTTATTTCTTTATGTACTTTGTACCCTGCAAATATTGACATGTCTTTCTGAAACACCCTGTATATATTGTCCTCGCGTAAACCCCATCACTGTACTTGACTACAATTATTTCCTTCCTTCAGCTTCGTCTTCATGGCCCTGATGGAGTACTGCCTGGTAAACATCGTTCTGGGCGATTCTGACGCCCCAAAGCCTCCCGCCCCACCTTCTACCGGCCTCAGTGGTTCCAGTTCCCGCCTCAGCAAGAAACGAAGTACGGCCAACAGCATCTTCGAACCACCTCCGACCACTCCAGCGCCTGCTCCAGTTCCCAAGGAGAGCTCGCTGCTACTGCTGACCGCCCCCAACGATTCAGGATTGGGCCCTCAAGCACCCAAACCGCTCACGCCTGCGCAGAAACGGCTCAATAGCGCGATTAATATCGATCGATTTAGCAGGGTGTTTTTTCCGCTGCTCTTCACTGTGCTCAATTGTACATATTGGATATTGTTTGCTGAGTATATTTAGTATGATTCTTTGCATCTAGGTTACATTGAATTATTATTGCTGACATATATGTTCTAGAGGTAATACGAAAATGTTTTTGTACCTAGTATTGAGAATATTGGCACCATTAAAGGGAAAAGTAAATGTTTTCAAAAACTAGACTACAGATGTATCATCAAACAAGTTTCAGACCGTAACTTCAAGATACTTTTAAGCCATATATTCTCTTAACTATTTTCATTTGTTCTCTCGTTATTTCGTTTCATCATGTCTTATTTGGTGCTCGTTTGTCTTGAGCATATAAAAAATATAGCTACTGTTTATTTTGTCATTTATTTTTAATAGAAATTGTACAAAGTCCTCTTCATCATTGTTCTTCAGCTACTACACAAGTAGCCGCTGAAATACGTATTTCATTCTTCACAAATTTTTGTGGGTTACTTCAGACATTAAACAGATTTAAAGCAACTTATGCTCCGCGTCTTATCCGGTGACCTTCTTGGTACTGTACCTATACCCTATAAGTAGTCCATTTACGCCCCGGCACACCAAAGATGCAGCGTTGCAATAGCTATTGGTCATTCCGCCATAAAACTACGAACTAGTGCTGTTCATATTCGGTGCATACACAGCATACGTTTATACGTTAGAATGTCGTCTACGGATACAGCAGATGAAATGAGAATATTTCTCCCAATGCTTCCTTCAGCCAAGCTTTCTCTTTGAATACATTTGAATATTCAGGCAAAAGAAATTGTCCTTAACGTTTATAAGAGCGAACTGTTATTTTAGGGCATCCTGAAATGAAAATTCATGATATTGAAAGACGTGTGGCGAACAAAACGGGATTACGTCCTAAGACAATTTTCAACATTGTTAAAGAATATTAAAAAAAATTATCTCCACCACACAAGAGGCTGAATTACACGAAGCTGTTTAGTTTTCTTGAATACTATATGGAATAATTATTTCCAGGAAAAAAAAATTGTTAAATGTCACATTGGCAGTTAAGATGGTTTTGTGCCCACTGCCCTATGGGCATTTGAGTCAAAGAAAATGTCCGACTACCATGAAGAAATAGACAGGAGTTCATTTGAACGATGGTTTGAAGAGATGCTCCCAAAACAGCAATGCTGCATACCACACTAGAAAACTAGAAAAAATCCCCACAATGTCCACAAGAAAGGCAGAAATTCAACAATTGCTTCTATCAAAAGCATAAACTTATCCATCTAGTCAGGCAGCACAAATATAAATATAATCATAATGTTATTGACGAAATGGCTAAAAACCAAAAGACCGGTTTAAGGCTACCCCCTTATCACTGGGACTCAAATCCCATTGGCTGTGGCATGTGGCTGGAAAAATTTGTTTTGTGAAGCTGTCAACAGAGTGACGGCAAGTCATTGGAAAAATTGCATCCGTCACGTTCAAGAAACAATCGAAACAAAGATGTGGGATCTGGACAATATGATCGATATTCAAATTGAACCTGTAATAATTAATATTAACCATTCGGACTATGATTCAAGTACTTCCAGCGAATAAAGAATTGTGACAAGTATGTGCACTTCTTTCTATATAAATAATTATTTATTTTGTTTGATTATTCCAAGACCATTGAGGAAAATACGGACCTGTACAATCTCGCTTTTGTGCATGTTGTGTTTTGTCTAGGCGTAACTGGACTACGAATGAGGTATAATATGTACTTTATTAGGGTTGTATAGAAGGAGATATGCTCATCAGGCTGCTACATTCATAATAATAGTGCTTTTTGTCTTGATATTTTACTGCTGTCAATGCTTCTGTCCCTGCAAGCGACTGAAAACAACATCTTGGCCGAGAATACCCCCTTCTAACCTTAACTGTATTCTCGACTGGGTGCAAAAAGTATTGCCTGCTAACAAATCAGAAATTCCAGAAGGTGATATAAAGCGTACTAAAATATCAGGAACTAAAATACCTAATATCTTTAGGAAGATACAAAATGGCATATTTCTGTATACTATCCAGACTAAGGGTGTACAAGGTACAAGTAAAACCGACAGTTGTTCCGGTGCCTAACGCACAAAAATTGTTGAAACGTTAAAATATATATCCTGAAAAATTAACTACATAACATATTCTGCGATATGTGTATAGTAGATCTAAAACAAAGCCATCAAAATACTTGTCTCACGTGATTGCTACAGTCATCGTCGCGGTACACTTGGTCCACTTTTTACTTGGTCCACTTTTTGAAGGCTCCAGTTTTTTCCGCTGCTTCAGTTGGAAATAGATCTACCATGCAATGTAAATACTATTATCATTAGTTACTAGCCATAACTTTTATTTGTTTATATATAGCGATTGATAGAATTTGTAGATTATCGTAAACCATTTTAAATCAGTGTGTTACTACGATTACTTACACTATTTCACTTTGATCACTTGATAGTAATATAAAAATACCTTTTACGTTAATATTCTGGAGATTGTAATTACATGAAAAGTCAATAAATTAACTATGTATATAAAGACATTGCTCAATTTTATTGTTAGAAATTGTCCTTAAGCAGCCAAAGAAATGAAAAAGAACCTATAATTCGTGAATACCACCAACTGAAAGAAGTTCGTATATTCATAAGATTTACTTAAAACCTCGGGAATTGAAAACATACGATGGAAATTGATTTTGAAAAGCCAAACAAAACTATTTCAGCAATATACAGGGTGTTCCATAATTATTGCGACAAAATGATAGGGGTTGTAGAGGGCATCAAAATGAACAATTTTTCCTTATAAACCCCTGTTCGGAAATATGCCGTTTGGGCTGCAGCAAAAAAAAAGATCAGTTTCTTGAAACAGCTTACCTACAGTAATTGCTCAAAGTGTCCTCCACCTTGCTCAATACACAGCTGTGCACGATTGTTCAATGATCGGCGAACTCTGTGGCATACCCCCGGTATGTCCTGAACATGTGCGGACGCGGCCATCACTCTTCCCAGTAGCTCTTGTTGGTTGGGAACAGGAGTTTCGTACACTAAAGCTTTCAGATAGCTCCAGATAAAATAATCCAGTGGGGTCAGGTCAAGTGACCGCGCAGGCGAAGGCACAGGGCCACCTCGGCCTATCCACCTATTTGGAAATTTGTCGTCCAAATACTGCCGCACTTGTAAAGAAAAGTGGGCTGGACCGACATGGTGTTGAAACCACATGTTGGCTCTTATATTCAGTGGCACATTTTCTAATAGTTCCGGTAGCACATGCTGTAAGGATCGACCATAAGCATGCCCATCCAAACGTGGTGGAAGCAGATATGGCCCGATGATATGCTCGTCCACAATGCCGCACCAGATGTTAATTGAAAACTGATGTTGGCCTCTATGGATGGCTATGGCATGAGGGTTTTCTTCATCCCAAATGTGACTGTTACGGCTATTAAAATAACCGTCCTTTGTAAAACAGGACTCGTCAGTGAACAAAACGTAGCGACCAAAGTTTGGTTGCCTCAACTCCTGCTGCAGCCACCAACGACAAAAACGTCGACGCGGCAGATAGTCTGCTGGACCCATGGCTTGGACTTTTAAAAGGTGGTACGGGTGTACGATAACAAAAATGTAAACACAGCAGGCTTTTTTTACAAACCGGCGAGACCATGAAATGTGCTAGACGAACATTTTGCAGCTGGTGAATTTTTTGTTTCTCCTATGAGCTCTTAAGGTAAAATTAACTGTAGTGCTCAAACGGCATATTTACGAACAGGGGTTTATAAGGCAAAATTGCATATTTTTATGCCCTCTATAACCCCTATCATTTTGTCGCAATAATTATGGAACACCCTGTATAATACTAAGGTACCTGCAGCAAATGATGACATACACCTAATAAGGCCATGCGTCGATTTCTCAGAAACTATCAACATTTAAAATTGAAGATTTATTGAGTTATACAAATTTATTGAAAGCAGTTAGCAGCCATAAATTCGGCAGCTGTGGACCGGTGCTAGATGGCGCAGTAGCACAGTGTCGGTTTTCAACATGTGCCTCATAAAATATCTGCTTTGAATTTGTCTCCGTTTTTGCATGTTGTCGGCTTCTTTTGGCCGAATCTCTTGTTAATTCAAACAGGTAAGTCTGTTAGGCATATGCAGGTAGTTATTTGCTGTTGCCAGGTTTTGAATGTTTTCAATTTTGTAAATTGTATATTGAAGGTTAGATGTGCGTAATAAGGCCATATTAAATGGTTCGCAGAAGAATAAAGACGAAAACTGGGACTATTTCATATGCCATAAGAATGAAATACGTGACATGTGTCTGTCTGTAATATGCTTGAGATATTAGTACGGTGCACTTCGACCTAAACGTCAACATCCAAAGTAAAAGTTTCCCCCCCAGTTCCAAATTGTTCTATATGGTCCACATTTCCACATTCGGTAAAAAGCTACACCACTTGGAGCGTCGGCTAGAAGTTGGTAAATAAGTACTTTTTATCAGTTTTTCTTGAATAATTCGAAAACTATGCGGTTTAGCACAAAAAGTGGTGTATACAAAAATAATCCACATTAAATTGCGAACAAAAATGATAATTTGCATAATCTTGCTAAAGTGAACGGTTCCAGAGTTATGAAAGATGAGAAAGTAGATATTTCACGTACCTAGATTTTTTGGAAAAAATGACACTAAGGAAACCAATTTTTTTATGCAAGATTGGGTTTTGTAAAAGCGAATGGTGATTTTAGTGGCCGGTTGAATGTTAGTGATAAGCCCTTGAAGGAAAGACAACCTCACCACTTTCTCAAGGGACGCTACTTTTTAAGGGAAAAGAGGCTTCCATAGGCTTAGGCCATATAAACATGTGGTGCGGAGAAAGCCACTCTGAACTTTCTCTGGACAATGCCGGATTAAGAATGAACTATTATATTTGTGTAATAATTCTGATATATAATTACATCTTTTTTAATCATATTTTTTTTTAAACTGCAGCTTGTGGATGTTTTTCTGAAAGTAGGCATATGAGTAGACATATTTGATTGTATATTGCAACTATATTTCTATATATTTATTATAAATACGACCTTAAATTAATGTAAAGTATTCAGTCCTCGTCAAACATAACACCTTTTTCCTCTTCTATATCTTCTTCTATGCTCGTGTCTCTGTTATTAGATCCTAGGCCTAAGCAATTACCGCACATGCTTGAGCAGTTTAGACCACTCTTTCTGCATTCGCAGTTATGGACGCATTCGTATTTGCAAGCGCACACTATGAGAGAAAGTAACTCCTGGAGAGCTGCAGGACGTGCTGTTGTAATCGGTGTCAGGTGTTCGCCAATCTTTTTCCACCCCCACTCGAGCGGATTCTTGTTCTCATTCAGCCTCTGCTGCACTTGGTGGTAGGTTCTAAATGCATGCTGCCTGAAAGCTGCTCTGAAGTGGGAGGAAGTGCAGCCAACTTGAACAAAGAATGTATGGGCTGCTTTGAAATAGCCTGCAAGTAACACTGATAGCGAAAAGAGTCTAGATTTTCAATGTTCTTGGCTCCAAACATCGCAAGAAGGAAATGCTTTCCAGCGTCAGCCACTGCATTGGGGTCGGCTTTGGGGTCGTTGAACGGTGTAATGTTTCCCTTCTTGTAGATAGCTGATACCGTGTCACATCCTGTGAAGGCGTATATTGCTAAGAGTACATCGTTCATATCCCCAATACCTCGCTGAATGTCAGAAATAGTGTACACTTTTTCCTGCTGATTGCCCGCGTGGACAGTGAACAAGACTAGTAAGTCCGTATCATCACCATTAACAGAAGCATTAACTCCCTTCTAAACTTCATCAATCGCTGTTAAAACTATTAATAAGTCAGCGTCCCCCAATGCTTGACTAACTGTGCAACCAACTCTTTGCAAGTGCACTGTAACTAGAGAAATAAATCCCATTTTGTTCATAGCGTTAGCTAGAAATTCACTTTGATTGATATTTGCATGGATTTGTTCTTCCACTTTTACTTCAATGCTGGTGCTAGAGCGTGACCTAAGTAAGTGTTCTTCTGTATTGCCTTGCTTGTATCGATCGAAAACAACGGTGGCATTCATCATATATGTAGTTCGCACAAGACAAACGATAAAAAAACGACAGCGGAACTTCACTAAAATTACAGTAAAAACGCATTCAACGACTGAAAACGCGAGCGAGTGACAGGTAGTGGTCGGCGTCGGCCAGAGCATGCGCGGCTTTGTAGCAGTGTTGCCAACAACACGGCAATTGCCGTGTTTTCACGTCTTTTGAAGCTGAAGCGATGGCCACGGCTTTAATGTACTGCCGTGCAACAAAATCACGGCTTTTTTTCTTTAACACAAATACCATGTTTGACTCTTAACATAAAAAGAACAAAAATTCAAAGTAAGAAATAATTATTTTAATATTAATTTGCCAAACGATCACACCTTTATCATTATTTATAAGATATAAACTGCTTTAAAATGATATTTAAAATAATGTTTGTTTTTTTTCGTTTTTTTTTTCGTTCGTTCTTCGTTGTCAAACGATATGACCTCTTTTAAAAGTCTTTTTTCAAACCTTAGTATTGTGTCTTATTATTTTATTTAACTTCTCTGTATTTTACGTCTAACACGGCCGTAGTTAAAAAACTGCAAAGTTTTGATTATCGGTACGGCTTCTATTTTGTACAGGTTGGCAACACTGCTTTGTTGTAGCAGGCGCGCTTTTATTAAACCGGTTCTTGCTCCTAGTACGAGCCCCTTCCCACTTCAGTTGGCCCAACTTCAAGATTTGTACCAAAATATGCCTTTATAAACTAAACATGACGAAACTATTTACTTATAAAACAATTTATTTTCTCAAAAACATTTTAGATAGACTCTAGTCGTAAAAAATACATATTTGAAATCACTTAGACCTATAACTAATAGAACATCTGAACAAATAAACAATGTGCGAATAAATGCGCGAAGTTAACAAAGCAACAAATAATTAATTTTTTATTACGGCTGAAATTCTTTGGGGCATAGTGTTACCCAAGTTTTGGCAAAAATTTGGTGTGAAACAAACCCATATTTCTTGAAGCTTTTGTCTCAGTTCGATGATTGTACAAGCAGGATGGTGTCGTAGAACCTTTTTCATCTCGTGCCACGAAGTTTCAATAGGTGACAGATCTGGACTGCTAGAAACCCATTTCAAAAGTGGTACATTACTTTCTTCCATCCATTATACAGGGACTTCGAAGTTGAGTCATTTATTTTAACAGTGAGTAGATCTGATCAAAAGAAATGTTTTTTTCCTTTAACATTTTTCTGGTTAAATTAAAGTAACAAAGTTATAGCCCTTTAGAAGTTTGAGTATCGCCCTGTCTCAATAATAATATTATGTCCTCGTATTTGGCAACAACAGATATAATCCGCCTTATCGGTTCATCGCATCGGAAACAAAAAAGCGAAAGAATTTGAAACGCTGATCACGATGTTTTTATTCAGTCAATGTGTCAATCGGTAACGCGTGAGTGAATAGTGGTGTTTGCTGCGTGGCTCAAACGAAATAAAAAATGGCACATGCTTGTGCGGATCGGTTTCCCAATCGAGTGCAACCAACCTCCTCGTGCCTTTGTTAATGTAGTACAAAGGGCTCGTGAATCAGGTGACTTAAGACCTCACACGGGAGGGCATGCCGGTGCTCCAAGACCGCACGATCAAATACAGGTCTGCACTGAAATACTTGTCGGGGGGATACTTTATAAAACAAGGTAATTTTTTTTTTATTTTTACACATAATTGGTTTATCTTCCTTCTACAATCATTATCTGAAAATTAATGACTCAACTTCAAAGTCACCCTGTATAGCCTTTTTTGAGGTATGGCACGCTGCACCATCTTGCTGAAACAAAAATCTTGGACGGATGTCAAACATTCTTCCATCACTGGTAAAAGCGATTCTTCTAAAATAGCCAAATATTTGTTTGTATCCACATTGCCATCAATAAAATGAAGTTTTCCTACTCCTTTTGATGACATACTGCCCCAGACCATAATGGATGCTGGAAATTTCACTTTTCTCTTCAGACAGTCAACATGGAATGCTTCATTTTTTTTGCGAATAACTCTACTGCGACTGTCACCAACACCACACACCATTGTTAAGGTGTCCGTTGTCTATGTTCTTTAGCCCATCTAAGCCGATTTTTCTTTTGCAGTGGAGTTAATAGTGGCTTTTCTTTGGCCTATAAACAAGTTGTGCAATTTTAGGGTTTTTACTTCACTTTTTTTATAAGAAAACTTACCTTGCAAGTACTAAATCCCAGTTTGTGGGCCTCTCTATGAGTTGTGGACCTCAAAATTCTCCTTCCAACAGCGTCACTCCACAGAGCACTTAATTGTAAATAATAGGCACGCCTGTTTTTCACGATTATTCTTCTTAATGCTCTTCGGTCGGCATTTGTGATATTACTTCTTTTCACATATCGTGGCTCAATATTAACTGAACCAGTTACGATATATCTTCTAACAATATTTCTCACACTGTACCGCGATAAGTCTAACAAAGTCGCAATTTCTGAGTTTCATTTCCCAGAATTAAAAAATTTAATTATCAGAAACAGAATTTTCTCACTAATAACCTTTCCTCTACCCATTTTGAAAACCTTAACTACCCAAAATTATTTTACACGTATTCTGAGAGCTGTGATTAATAAAAACAATTGTCATGGTTTTTATTTTTCGCAGCCACCTATGCGTTATAGACTTATTTTGCACTGAAATGAAAATAGGTTGATATGCTGTAATTGCAACATGTGTTATTTTTATGCTGCAAATTTGATTAGGGAGTGATAAAGTTGGTGTTTTCTACTATACAGGGTGACTTCGAAGTTGAGTCATTTATTTTAACAGTGAGTAGATCTGATCAAAAGAAATGTTTTTTCCTTTACCATTTTTCTGGTAAAATTAAAGTAACAAAGTTATAGCCCTTTGGAAGTTTGAGTACCGCCCTGTCTTAATAATAATATCATGTGCTCGTGTTTGGCAACAACGGATATAATCCGCCTTATCGGTTCATCGCATCGGAAACAAAAAGCGAAAGAATTTGTTTTTACAATTATTTTATTCAGTTGTATACATACAGTCAGTGTCAGTCGGTAACGCGTGTGAATAGTGGTGTCTGTTGCGTGGCTCAAACGAAATAAAAAATGGCACATGTTTATGCGGATCGGTTTCCCAATCGAGTGCAACCAACCCCTCGTGCCTTTGTTAATGTAGTACAACGGGCTCGTGAATCAGGTGACTTAAGACCTCACAGGGGACCTCACGATCAAATACAGGTCCGCACTGAAATACTTGTCGGGAGGATACTTTATAAAACAAGGTAAAACATTTTCTTTAATTTTTTTTTATTTTTACACACATATTTTGGTTTATCTTCCTTCTACAATCATTATCTGAAAATTAATGACTCAACTTCAAAGTCACCCCCGTATATTATCAAAATATTCATTGTTAATATTTTAAACCTATAACACCCTGCTACATTTTTATTATTTGTGTTTGATAAGATTTCAATAGTTGGGCCAACTGAAGTGGGAAGGGGCTCGTACTTTTATGCTTCTGAACTTCTTTTGGACTATAAAGCGATTGAACATTACTTTTTAATAAAATTGTTTATTTATTTCTGTTTAAATAGTAGGGGAGACCGGGGTTGGTTGTTAAGATTTTTATAAATATATTTTTTAAAATTTTCCTATTAGTACCACAAATTTCATTTTACCGTATATTGATTACTTAATCTTTTGTGCATAAAAAACATAAAAATTAAATCTTAAAAGCTAATAAAAATAAAGTTATTATTAATATAAACAAGAAAAGCAGAATGTCACAACTTACCCCGCTTCGGGGTTGGTTGTTACAATGCTGGGGTTGGTTGTGACAATATCTTGTGAAGGCCCCATATTTAAATATCATCATCAGAACTACAGTTTAAGCAAATTAAATTTTGGACGAGAATTTGAAAATGGCTCACTGCAAATAAGACAAAAAACTTCTTCATCCTCAGAGCCGCTTGATGGAATATGTTTGGATTTACTTTTACAAATGTTTACAAATGTTTTTGTGCCTGATTGCTTTGCCTTTTTCTTAGTTTGTTTCATTTGTCTTTCTTTGTATGCGTTTTCAATTTCCTCTTTATTGGGTGTATCAGTCCAAATGGCAGCGCGGCCCCGTTTTCGTACTTTTCTGTTTGTTTTTCGTGGTTCTGCCTTGGGCTTTGGGCGCAAATCCTGTGCAGGTAAGTACGACTTTATTCCAGAGGGTCCAGGGAAATCCACGACTTGAAAATCATCTCTTTCTTTGTTAACCTCTCGTAAAACTGAAGGTAAATTTACCACATCCGGCGAATTTGGAGGGGTTATTTGAGATTCTTCCCGTTCAGTTAATTGAGCTTTTTCTTGTTCAGTTAACTGAGCTTCTTGCTGGGTTTCGGCTTGGTTTGGAACTTGTTTTTTAATATTTGGATTGGGACGATCTGTAACAGCTGCAGGAAGAAACTCATCCTCTGTGAAAATGTTTCTGTTAACAGGGAAAACTCCACTTATTTGAAATCCAGCCTGGATATTCTTCGGGGTAGCAGCCAAAGGCAAAGCATCTTTAACAATTTTAGGTACGTCATAAATTGTCATTGTTTTGTCAGGATTATTGCGCATCCAGGAATCGTAACTGGTATTGATATATTTCTTAAGAGGCCCATAGACAGATCGATCTAATGGTTGTAGTTTGTGTGAACAATGCGGGGGCGTGGAGATCATAACAATGCCATTTTCTTTGCAGTAGTTAAAGCCTTTTACTGAAAGATGTGACTCATGGTTATCGAGTAACAGTAAAACCGGTTTTTCTTTAGATGACCTACAATGTTTTGCAAAATGCTCCAGAAAAATACAAAATTCGTTTTCTGTCATCCACCCCGATAGCTTGGCGGCTCCAATACAGCCAGGAGGGCCATTGTTCACAAAATGATCTCTGTAGTTTTTTCTCGGAAACAGGAACATCGGAGGGATTGAATTGCCGCTAGCACTGAGCAAATTAAAATGTTACTAGGGTTCCTCTTTCGGCAGATGTTACAAACCCAACCTGCTTAGCTCCCCTTCTAGCAACGACTCTATCTGGCTTCTGCACAGTTGTTATGCCCATTTCATCGACATTATAGATGTCTTGTGGTTCAAATTTATATCGATCAACCACTCCTTCCAGCAAGTCAAAAAATGCAGAAACATTTGTCTTGTTAAAGCTGGTAATTCGACCAAGGCTAGTCGCCTCGGGAACCCTGAGAGATAATCGTGGATGACGTTTAAAAAAACTTGTCAACCAGTCATCAGATGCCATTTTATTTTCATTCCAGTTGGGGCGAACAGCTATATTATTTTTTACAGCATATTCAAAGGCCAGTCTGCGAACCTCTTTCGTGGATAAGCCAAAATAATATTTTGCTTGGTCCAACAAATATTCTTCCAAGTCAGCTTCCATCTCATCTGGTAGTACCTGACGATTTGGTCTATATCCAACATGGATAGGTCCTTCTAATCCTAAAAATAAAAAAAAATAAAAATATTAACTTGACACTCCAACGCTGACACATAGAAGTTACAAATAAATGTTTAAAAAGCCAAAGAAAGTCAAAATTGAGTTTTATAAATGTATAAAAAACGGGAGCTTACAAAAAATAATTTTATACACACACACACACACACACACACACACACACACACACACACAAACACAGCAAGTACAATGCAAATAGACCAAATCGTAAAAAATGCGTAAAATAAAAAGTTACCTTCATCTTCTTTCTGTTTCTGTTTTTTACAAAATCGCTGTAAAGTCATATGATTTATCTCAAAATCAGCAGCTACTGTTCGTAGGGACTTCTTGTTTACAAGAACCTCATTAGCAGCTCGTTCAAAAACATCTACAGGTGTTTTTCCCCTTCCGGTTTTGCGAATATAGTTCCTTATTATCTGTCTAAAACAATTTTTATTATGTTAAACGCACCAATAGAATTTTTCATGGGGTAGTTTGTGACAGTAACAACCTGCCCCGTTGAAGGTGTCACAACCAACCCCATCCGCCATTTTCTGTTTTTTTCTCAAATATTTTTGTGAACATTATAATTAGCCGAATAAAAACAATGCATTATAAAAGTACTAACCTGATATTATAAATTGATCACCTCATAAAGTGGTTTTCATCACCACAGGCAACTCCATAAACAAATATTTTTCAATAACAAAAATTTCTCCAGAACCTCGAAAACAACGAAAGCAACATACCACATGCGCACTCAAGCGGAACTGAATTATGTTAGGAGGCGACAGACTGAAAATGTCGTTCCGAAGCTGCTGCCATCTATACGGTAGTAGTAAAACGCACTGTAACAATAAACCCCTGTAACAACCATCCCCGGTCTCCCCTAGTTATAATTTAATTTTTCCAAAAAGTCTAAAAGTTACGAAAAATGTCTAATTTTACACCTTCCGTAACTCCGGAACCATTCCCTTTAGCAAAATTATACATATTTGTTCGCAATTTAATGTAGATTATTTTTGTATACAATACTTTTTGCGCTAAACCTCATATTTTTCGAAATATTTAAGAAAAACTGATAAAACGTACTTATTTGAAAACTTCTCCCCCCCCCCCTCCCCCCGAAAGCCGACGCTCAAAATGGTGTAACTTTTTACCAAACAATATGTGGACTGTATAGAACAATTTGGAGTTGGAGGGAAACTTTTTGGATGTTGACGTTAGACCGTTTTTTGGACTAATTGCATCGTACTATATGTCCATGAGGAATGAGTAGGCTTGTTTAGAGGCGATAAGGTATTATTTGTTTGTTTTCAATGCGAAGGCAAAAACAAGTTGATTTTTTTACTTGAAATCTATCTGGATTCAAAAATTTTGCTCTTATAAACGTTAAGGACAATTTCTTCTGCCTGAATATTCAAATGTCCATTCTTGTCACGTTTTCGAGGAGGAGACATCACTGAAGAGGAAGGATGGCAGGAGGAAGCATTGGGAGAAATATTCTCAATATCTTTTGCTGTATCCGTAAACAACACGCTATGTATGTGTATGCACCGAACCACCGAATATGAACAGCAACTGCCGGCGCCGGCGTCAGCGTGCCGGCGATACCCCGAGCATGAGTTCTATCCTGTCGAATCCTGCAGTTGTTCGTAATTTTATTTATGGCCGAATGACCAATAGCTGTTGCAACGCTTATGCTGGCTACACACGATCCGGCAGGCTTGTCAGTTCGAAGTGAACAGTCCGCCTGAAGACCGGTCGTCTGAGCGTGTATATACTCCGGTCGACTTGTCAGTTAAGACTGTTCAGGCGGCCGGAGAAAAATCAAAAATATGTTCGTTTATCGGTCCGGCCTGACGTACTCAACGACAAGCCTGAACGTGTGTATGGCGCGGCCGCCTGTTGGGACATCCGGCTGTCAGGCCAAACAGTTCAGTTTAATACAGAACCAGAGTACAGAAGTCGTTACCATGTCGCGGGAAAGAGAAAACACGTGTTTAGAAGAATTTATCGCGATTTATCGCAATGAGTTGTGTCTATGGCAAGTAAAATCGAAAGACTATCACGACCGTGGAAAGAAAGAAGGGGCGTATTTAAAATTAATAGAAAAATTGAAGGAAATTGATCCTTCTTGTACGAAGTGTACTATTTTAAAAAAAAAATATTAATTTGAGGAGTAGTTTTCGAAAGGAAGCAAAAACAGTGAAGGATTCAATGAGGACGGGATCAGGGGCCGATGAAGTTTACCATCCCAAACTTTGGTATTATGATTTGTTGAAGTTTGTGGAAGACCAAAAAGTCTCTCGAAACTCTCGAAGCAATATCTCTAATGACGAAGAGAGCGAAAATGAGGTAAGTGACAGAAACATTCAGTAGATAATTTCTTTGTTTATTTATTTAATAAGCACACATTTTTCATAATGTAAATAAGTACCTATTTGTAGGTAATTTGTGTATTTTTAGGGTGGTCCAAATTGGTCAAAAAAAGTCATTGGCGCAAACAAAATTTTGCAATTTGTAATCGTTTTGTTGCCAGGGGACGTTCTTAAAATTTAGTCGATTTCTTTCAATAAAGGGTGTTCCCATAAGAGAGCGACCAATTTGGACCACCCTATACAATAGTATTATTAGTAGGTAAGTTTTTATTGGATGAATCTATCTTGCCAAGAAACTTTACCTCCATTCGTAAAATAACTCATAAAGGCCTCCCTAACTTCTTTTGCTGCATTCTCTGTATTTCCAAATGGTCTTCGTTGCAAGCTAGACATATTAGAACCTTGTGAATTCAATCCAAAATGTGTCACACCTTCTTCCGTATCATCATAGTCAAAGCAGTCTGGAGGAGTATATGTTCTTGATGACTTAGCTATCAAAAAGTTATGTAACATGCAGCAAACCATTACAACGAATTCAATAGTTCGCGGTTCCAAATTAATGCAAGTGTGAAATATCCGAAATCTGGCAGCCAATATTCCGAATACATTTTCGACAATACGTCTTGCTCGTGATAAACGGTAGTTGTAATTTTTTTTCTCCCTAGAAGTCAAGGCTGCCTGTCGAAAAGGTTTCATTAGGTCTACCCTCAATGGAAATGCATCATCTCCTATAAATACATATGGTAGGCTTCTGTAAGTATTCCGTATGGTTTCTTCTACAGGAATTTTCAGGAGATTATTTTGTAGTTTTTCAAAAAATTTGGTATTTTATAATACACCACCATCAGACCGAAATCGCACATTAAAATACGATAGTTTGCATCAACTAAGGGTAATAGCACCATGCTATGAAAACCTTCATAATTATAATACTACGATCCGCTTCCAGATGGGGGGACGATGCTCACATGCTTGCCGTCATTGGACCCAAGGGAATGAGGAAAGTTCCAGAGTTCGTCAAAGCTCTGAGAAATGTTTCTCCAGTCTTGTTCTAGTCGTGGAAACTGAAAAAAAAGATAATATGATGCATTATGCATGATAAAAATATGCATTAAAAATGTCTGGCAAAAGAAATAAATTGTGTATTTTTTAATTTTTTTCATGCTTTGAATTTATGAAATACGATTAAGTAATACAGTGATGAAAACCATAGATATTTCCACACAAAAAAACTAACAAAACTGTTCAAACAAATCTTTTGTTACAGGATGAATCAAGAAACCCAAGATTCTACTGAAAAAACTTCCAAGTGTGGCTTCAGGTTCGCAGTTTCGCTATAGACCGACACCAAAATCTCAAAAACCAGATGACCAAACACAGTTAACGAAAGAAGTACTAGCAACCGTCAATAATCACATCAAACGGCCACGCACAGCGGATTACCGGTTTGACATTGTTGGTAAAAACGTTGCTATGAAGCTCAGCGATTTAACGAACGATCAGTGACGCCTTGCAGAGAAATGTATTAATGACGTACTTTTTGAAGCTGAGGGTGGAACAATAATCAAATTCAAGCGGATAACCAAATGGAAATGGTATTTACCATTTTGGGTTGGTATTTACCAATCCGTTCAAGCGAGTGTAGTTATCAGTTTGGTTATAAGATCCGTGACGTCACGAATCAGCTGTTATATGTCATAGTTATCACCGCAAAATTGTGGTATTTACCCAACTCAAGAGTAGTTTTATATTTCTGGCTATTATTTTAAATGTGACAAGTTAGAATTTTGCCGGGTATTGGATATTGTTATTGTACTTCAGCTTCATTTTTGAGAAAAATGATACAGGCTGACTTCAGTTTTACCATAAAGTGGAGCACCTTATTAGTTATACTCATTACGGTTGTTGGGGACACTTTAAATGTAGTTCCTATGCTTAACAAAGTATCCTGTGTAGCCATATACCACAAGAATATTAAAATATGGCCATATAAACTCACTAGATGATATCCACCTGTATACGGTTTTGCTAATTTCTTTTTTCATCATTTCTGCTGAATCAATAAATGTTTTCGTTGACATGCGGAAAAATTTAGAGAATTGAAAGTTATCATAGCTACAAAGCCATGGTTCCATCAGTAAAAAAAAATCTGAAAAAAATATTTCTCCCATGAATATTATGAAAGGTTTCATATTTAAACTTTCCATATACAGTTGTAGACGAAAAAGCACCGATTATTAAGTGATAATAAAAATAATCAGAGATTATATACGCGCTTTTCTAAAATAAACAACTTGCAACAAAACCGCGGTTAAAACCAACGCGTTCAAGCGATTCGTGTAACTGACGTCATCAACTCGTGTGTCATCTTGAACCATATTATAACCGCGGCACGTAACACAGAAATGTTGGTTATTCGCTTGGATTTGATTATTAACACCACATCATAAACTGACTTATCAGCCACCATTGTCTAATCGTTATCATTCATCCAGTACCTATTCTAGCCGGCCAAGCTTTCAACTCTCCGCAACACCAGCACCACCGCAGCAGTTGCTACTACTGAACTCCCCTTCGTCAAATGAATATTATTTGAATCATTCATCTAGTTCCAATCCTAGCCGCCCAAGTTCTCAATCATCCGCAATATCATCACCATCGCAGCAGTTGCTACTCCAGAACTCAGAAGCTTCATTTGAACACCACTCCCAGAATAACATGTTTTTTCCCCACACAGAAAGTGTTCAAGAAAGGGAAGCGTCGGCATCACCTCGCCAGTACCGGACTGCTTCATTCACTTATGCTGATAACAACTGATAACTGAACTTGTGTTTGTATTTTTTATGGAAGAAATATAATGTTTTTGTTTATATGTTTAATATTCAAGAAATTTAATGTTTTTGTTTATCTGTAAGTTTAATATTCAAAAAAATATTTTCTTACCTTCATAAAATCCTTGCGTAGAACTTCCCATATTGCTTCACAAGTTTCAGGAATAATGTAACTCAGAGCTTGAGGTGATATAATAGTGGAAAACTTGAGGTCCTCATAGGTTCTTCCAGTAGCTAGAAACCTCAAAGTTGCCGTCAGCCTTTCGTGTGCTGGGATTGCTTCTCTCATTACAGTGTCTTTTCTTTCTATCAAAGGTGCTACCAATGATAAAAGTTGCAGATACGTATCTTCATTCATACGTAGATAATTGTGCCAATCCTTGGGAGCTAACTTCAGGTCATTCAGCAAATTCACATGAGAAAAAACGCTCCTTTTTTTCAACCAATCTTTACACCATACCGTACGTTCTTTTTTGGATTTCTTTTTACTCAAAGCAACTACTAAGCCGAGAAGTGCTAACGCGTCGTCATCAGTAGAGGCCATAATATGATGATTGAGACTGATATTTCATAGTCGCCTGAACGTGTGGAGGGTGGTCAGCCCATCAGGCGACTGGTCTTCAAGCGGACTGGACTGTTCAGTTCGAACTGACAGGCCTGCCGGATCGTGTGTAGCCAGCTTTAGGAGGCTGCCACTTTGCCGCGCTGCATCTTTGTTGTGCCGGGGCGTAAATGGACTACGAAAAGGATATAGTTTCAACCGAATGCAACCAGTTAATACTAGGTTTGGCCATTAATGTATAGGTTACATCTAAGGCTAACCAACTGTCAGTGGCTATACCTAGTTCTAACCTGCTAAACCTAGTTTTCACCGCATTTCGGGCTTTAGTTGAAACCACAGTCAAAACGGAGAAATAGTGAATTTGGCAACGCCGCCTAATTCATCCTACAATTCGATGAGTAAAAGAGGCGTGCTTCCCACTACTGCGAGTACACATCGTGTATGCTACGACCCACTTTGGCAGATTTCATGAAATGTCCAAAATGTAAGCCAGAATGCAAGCCGAATTGTTAGGTTATGCCCTAGTTGTGACTTGATATTTTGAAGCAAATTAAGCATCTTAAGTATTTTCCATTATGTCTGACCTCCGAAAAACAGTGCTAGGTCTCCATACTAAACGTTCCAGCTCCTCAAACTCAAGACTGGCAGCTTCAAAGCAAAATTTCGGTCCTGTGAAGTGGTCAACCTATTTCGAGAAAGAAGACACCATTGAGACACCTAATGGCAAATTTCATGTTTACAGTAAGGGTACCGAAGGCCCCATTTTAATGTGTCTACATGGCGGCGGTTATTCAGGTCTTACATGGGCTCTTTTTACTGATGAAGTTACAAAGGTTAGACAAAGAGTATAAGCTAATATCAATCAGAAATTCATGTCATTCCTGCCTGTGGTATATGAAATTTATTTAAAGCACTGAATTCAGCCACCTCCATGTCCTTGTTTTTTTATAAGCATGTTCTTTTTTCAACTTTATGCATGTGTCTATGATTATGACGTCAAAAATTCCAATATTGTATAAATTCTATAAATGCATCATTAAGCAATTCATGAATCCTTCTTATCACCAGGAGTTGTGCTCTCTCTCTCTCACACATTGTATATCTAAAAGTGACAGATCCGATAATTAATTGGATTTTCAGTGAAACATGAAATGCTGTACTATTATGATCTTCACATTAATTTAAGAGCGTCTTAATGTGATTCATTTTGTTTATATTACAGACCATTCACTGCCAGGTAAAGGCACTTGATCTGAGAGGGCATGGCAAAACTACTACAAATGATGATTTGGATCTCTCATTAGAAACGTTGGCCAATGATGTTGTAGATGTAAGCAAGAAGATATTAGATGGCAGTGATACTCCTATCATTTTGCTAGGCCATAGTATGGGAGGTGCTGTAGCAGTAGAAGCCGTTCAACATATGGATAATGTAGGAGGGTTGTGTGTCATAGATGTTGTTGAAGGTAAAACAATACAGAGAGATGTTAATTTATTCTATTCATTGTTAATTAGTAAGTGGGGCTTCTTTCACAACCTGAAAATGGGGCATATGAAGAAGCTGTCAGGTTGCTTTTGGTGAAAACAGTATCTTATAGCATTGATTTAGATATTCTACCAAATATAGCCAATCATAACCTGTATTCTGGCATCAAAAAATGAATCCGAAAAGTACTAGCACCATTTATACCATTTTTCACAAGAATCCATCATGCTTTGATGTCTACTGAGGTGATCAGCAAGTTACATTTTTGTGTTAGTCTGAGATGTTGGCAATAATGAATCAGGTGTAAATCTAGTAAAACTTGTTTGTAGCATTTTTCTTGTATGCAAATGAACTTTAAAATGTAGAAAAACCAAAACAAAAAAAGACTCTGACTACCTGACATTGACGGATCCATCAGAATTATGAGTTCGTGCCGAATGGGTGAATTTTGAGATATTACTAGATAATCAGCCATCATTCTACCGTGATGAATACTCATGAAATAGGGTATATAAGACAGTAGAAGAACACAAAAATGAATTTAGAAATCTACTTTGAAAAGAGTCAGTGTTTTCTATCCCTTTTTGGCCTCTTAAAAATGCTTATTGTAATGAGGTATCTCCAGGTGGAGTACATTAACCAATATTGTTAGGTAAAATAGTTAATTGATGGATCAAAACTATAAGATCAAAGTACTTTTTTCATTATGAAATATATTAAAACTTGATACACAATGGTTTCCTCAGCAGTCATTTAATGTAAAGTTTCTAATCATTGTATAGAAGGCACTTAAATGTCTCATCTTGTCTTTGTGATTCAGCTCTACCAAGGTCCTTTTGGCACCAAGATATAAAGCACTATGTACAGTTTTATTGGAAAAACGGGTGGCTTGCTTGTCGGCACGCGCTCTCCTCTAAATCTGTCAGCGCTCTATTGGAACACCTTGCGCATAAATATCTTATGGTACTTACTTCATGAAATATGTATAAAAAAAACATTACGGATGTATAAATGGATTTCAGGTACTGCTTTGGATGCATTGTCTTCGATGCAAAGCATACTCCGAGGACGACCCACTCATTTCCGCAGTATACCTCAGGCAATCCAGTGGTGCTACAAGAGTGGGCAAACCAACAACTTAGAGGCAGCTAAAGTTTCTATGCCTGGTCAGATAATTAGCGTCACAACATTGAAGTTAGCTGCAGATGAGTGTGATGAGGTTGAAACTGAGAAGGAAGATCTAGATGCTTTAGGAAGAAGAAGTGTAGCATCATCAGCTTGTAGTCTCACTGAGGTAACTGGGTATTAAAAATAAAAAAAAAAGACAATCATCAGCCTCCTCAATTCCACAAATTTCATTCATCTATCTCTCATCCCTATCTACTTGAAAAATCGATTTAAAAGATGCTAGAACCATCTGTAAAATAGTAGGAGATCACAAAAATCAATTTAGTAATCTACTTTGAAAAGAGAGTGTTTCCCACCTTTTTAATTGGGTATTTCCAAGCATTGGTTAATCTATTCCACCTGAAGATACCCACTTAAAATGGGCATTACAGAGGCCAAAATCCGAATGACGACCCTAGCGCCATTTATGAGATAGTAGCATAACCAAACCCTTAACTTTTTAATGTAGGTTTCTAAATTCATAGATGGCGCTAGTAACTCTCAGATCTCGTTTGGGGCTCCGGTATACAGTATATGGTTGACCATCTTCCACTATAGAGTTTTAACAGTTGCCATACTGGTTTTTTAACCCGTCAACTTATGATTGTTTTGATACTTTTCTCTTCAGAAGTGAAAAGTGTTTTCGTATTGCAGGTGGCAGAAGAGCCTGAAGAAAAAGACAACATTGTGCAATCTGGCGAAGAGACAAAATGCAATGATTGTGGTAAACCGCCATTGCCGAAATCCCAACGTACCGACGATTCACCCTCCAGCCCTCAACAGGGCCAGATGGGGCCCCCTCTAAACGCGCCCCCCATTCATCAGAGCGCTACGGATGCTGCCTTCCAGCACCAGTATAAATGGAGGATAGATCTCAGCAAGACAGAGAAGTTTTGGACAGGCTGGTTCACCAACCTCTCTCATAAGTTTTTGGAGGTGAAGGTGCCCAAGTTGCTGTTGTTGGCTAATATACATGGGTTGGATACCACACTTACTGTTGGGCAAATGCAGGGTAAGCATTTCATATAGACCAGACCAGAACTTCGAATTCAACACATTAAAAACGTTGTTTTTCCCCACTCCGCACATTTTTTTAATTTTTCCTTCTGAACAAAACTGGTTCCCAGTAAATTTGTTCTAAAGTTGCCAATGGCTCCTAAAAAATACCATTTTCAGCCTCATAGCAACAAGTATCAAGCGAAATTACTACTTTGCTGCTTTAGATCGACAATGCTTTCATTTGCTGTATTTCTTAGGAAACTTCAACTTTGCATGCAGGATTGCTAACATTAACACGTAGTTTTTCAGTCGATTTTAGATTCTTTTATTTATTTATGACTGTCTACATTTTACCAATATTTTATTAGGAAAGTTCCAGCTGCAAGTGCTGCAAAAATCCGGCCATGCTATTCACGAGGACCAACCGCACAATGTAGCTGAGCTACTCAGTGGATATCTGGTGAAACAAAAGATTGCTTTGCCAAAGGATGGATTTTCACATAACAATGTGCCATCTTGTTAAGAAAGTATTTAATACGTCTAGGAATGGATTTTAACAAATTCTGATTTGATTTGAAGAGTTTTCTGATTTTTGTGCTCAAAATAGCTATTTTTTATCAATTCATGTATTTATAGATAATTCTCCTGAACACTAAGGCTCGAAATACAGTACATATAAAGGGTGATATCCATCTGTTGGTTAATTTTTAAATCGATGGTTAAACTGAAAACGCAGAGGTCTTTTTCCAAACAGGTTTTTTATTTGAGAGTACTATCCTTTAAGTTAACAATGAAACACAATCTCATTCACATGCGCACCACTGCTGAGTATGACGTAGCCGATTCTGTCGACCCAATTTTTCAGTACATTTTCCAAAGTCTATGGCATTATCTCACCAATGGCTGCATGACTTGGTCTTCAAGTGCTCAGTCGTCGCTGGGGCATCCTCATAGCATTTATGTTTTACGCTTCCCCACAAAAAATACGAGTAATACAATCGCAGCTTCGCGGTGGTCAAGTCACATCATCAAAACGGCTGATTACGCGATTTTCGAACTGTTCTTGACGAAGAGCGATTGTTTCGCGCCTGGTGTGGCAGGTCGCGCGGTCTTGCTGGAACCACAAGCCAACCAAGTCTTTTTATCGGTTTTCGAAAAAAAATAAATAAATAAAAATAAATAATATGCTCCGATAGCGTACACCGCGTCCTTCATCTTCGAAAAAAAAAGGGCCAATAATGCCACCAAACAGTCACGCGTGGCGGATGCATTGGCTTTAAGGTAATTTCATTTGGCTATTCTGAGCACCAAATATGGCAATTTTGCTTATTGACCTAGCCACCAAGATGAACATGGCCCTCGTCCGAAAAAATTATTTTTCGATTAAAATGGGGGTTCTCGTTCAAGCGTCCAATTGTGAACGCTTCCCAATTTATACCTAACAACAATGCACCCTTGAGAGACCCTCAAGAGGAGATTTATTCCTTGCTTTTCACAGCAAGCTGTAACAGGAAAAGTACGAATATTCCAAGATTATGATAATTTAAATATTTGTAAAACAATGAAATCTTGCGAATATTTTTAAAAAATATGGCATATCACTGATCGCACTTACCGGGCACTCCTTAGGGATATCTTTGTTTATACTCTCCATTTCTCTTTTTGAATGAACATAGGGTAAGGGCGGGTAAGAGTACGCTGTTTTCAGAAAACATTTTATTTTTAACAAAATAAAAAAATTAAACTCAATTTATAAATATAGGAAATAACTCATGGTTCTTAACCCTTAAATGACAACATGAAAATATTCATACACGAATGACAACATGGGGTCGCATGTGACCCCAAGCAGGACTACTGTTATTGATGATATTTTTCAATAAAAAAATTAATTAGTTTTAGGCAGAGAAAACATAAGGAATACAACATTCTTAAATACAAAATGAACAAACAGCCTGGCTGTGTTACGCTTGCATGTTACACAGTTATCTCTGCCTTTTCTGCCTACAGTTCTGGGACATATATGGAGCAGCGTTTATTTCCTTTGGTTTCCAGTATAGGTGATACCTGGTTTACAATATCCCGTTCTGCTATATCCAATACCTGTGATAAATTTGTTATTTCAAGCATCCTCTTCATGTGTTATTTGGCAAGCTCTTCACCCAGCTGCATTAGTAACATTAGTCGCGGTGTTTTCATAGTATTAGAACTATTGGGTTCGTAGAGCAGATAAGAATTCACAGCACCCCCATCAAGCATACTGTATAATACTCTAAGAGGCCATATTTTCGTTCTTGATACGGACTTACTGTGTCATAGCTGGTAAAAAACATCGACTCTACCTTTGATAGCATTAGAAAATAAATTAATTTCGGATTTCCCTGAATTCCGGTCAACCTCGTTATCGTTATGCATTGTTTACATGAGTATTACTACCTTATTTTTTTTAGGAAATGAGACGCCAAAACTACCTCTCCATCGAAAGCAAATGTGTTAGGCTCTAATATTTTTGGTTTAAGAAATTCGGTTGGAATTTCTGGTTTATTTTTCCACAAACGTTAGTCCTACTTCCTTCAATGATTCTGCCATGTCCATAGAGGAAAACCAATTATCTACAGTGATATTTCTATTAGTTTTGTCGATTGGTTCGGGTAATTTTAGAATATATTGTGTCGGTAACGGAAGGTTAGTTGCACGACCTTCTTTGCCAATATACGGTATTGCTGAAAACATATAGAACATTTTTGCATCACACAAGATCATTATTTTGATGCCGTATTTATCAGGCTTATTTGGGATATACATGCGAAATGGACAGCTGCCTCGAACACCGATAAGTTGTTCATCAACAGTAACGTATTCCGCTGGCGTGTAAGTATTTCGACAATTTTCAACATATCTTTCTCAAATATTTCGAATAGCACAAAAATTATCTAATTCTCTCCTTTGGTTTCGGGCTGTTTTATCATTGAATTAAAGATTTTTTATACGAAAAGAAAATCTGCTTTTGCTCATGGTGACTCTAAAAACTGGTGCGCCAAACTTTTTAGACCACAGCTCCTCTAGGTTAACATGATTATTCTTCAATATACCACTTATGTATAGTAAACTAAAAAGTGCTACTAATTCCGTTTTATCGGTCTGTCCTGTATATCTTTGTGATGTTTAAAACTGTGTCTGATTGCTGCTTATTTCTTCATTTGTATGAGTAACAATTGTATGCATGATGTTCTCATCAAAAAACAATTTCCACACCTCAAATTCGGTTTTCGCAGTACTTTAGGCCCAGGAAGATGCAGAACCAAATTTTTCTTCATTGTTCGTGCATTTTTTGCATGAAAAGGTTTCAAGTTCCATTTGTAACAATTTTTTCCATAAATCACTTTTCTTTGTAGATCTGCTAACAGTATCTCATCGTCGGATGACTCGTCTTTAATAGGTTCATACACTATTTCGTCGACCTACACTTTTTCTTCTTCCTAACGATCTTCAGCTTCACTTCCACTATCACTCAAGTCATTATTACTATAGTCACTATCCTCTTCCCTCTTTCGTAGTGACTTACAATCTTTTCGAGTTCTTTGTCACTTAAATATCTTTTATGCGTAGACATAGTTTTTTATTCCGCAAATAACAACACGGGTCACGGGCGACCCCAATAACCTATAAATCGGATAATAATTGTCGACC